ATATTTTTTAAGTATAGAATACAGTTTTATTTATTTAAAAAAACAATTGACATTGTTAATTTACAAATGAAATTTGTCTTATTGTATGAGAATAAAATAAATAAACAAAATTTTAAAATTAAATAAGAAAATTAACAAAATAAACAAGTAAAAGTTAACAATAATAAAAATTGAACAAGTGTTCATGAAACGAAACACATAAATGTGTAATAAATAAAAAAAAACTTAAGTGTTTAAAATAATCTACCACAAATAAGTGAAAAACAAATGTTGCAGATTTTGAAAATATTTAAGCATCGACTCACTGAAAACTCCGTCGTAAGGAGCGATTGCGGCGTGACGATGGGCAACTTGGATATAACGATCCGCTAGTATAACGTCGAATTAAATTCATTTTAAACATCAACATCTTGTTTCTACCTGCTACAGATTCCATCTGATCAGCTATATCCCGAAGCCTGCTGAATATAAATAGTCCGTGATTGTTTAAGATGCTGGGCTCAGACGAGGTAGATTGCGGAATGACCAATTGGATCAAGGTATGCGAAAATTCCCACACTGATCTAATATTCCGCATATTTTGTGTTTCTTCGGCATCATAATTGTCAAGGTAGACGTCCATAACGCGGAAAATGTTCATCCTTTGATCTTTTAAACAGTCTCGCAACACGACGGAGGTGGTACAGGGAGGCTGAGATGGATTGTTTGATTCCATTTCTCTCAAATCATCATTAATTAGTTTGATCACCACTCGATAAATTTTGTCGGTCTTAATGAGGAGTTCGATCAACTTGTCCCGGCCTCCTTCGATCTGCTTGGTTACTTCTGCAATTTTCTTATTTTGCGATTCCATAATGACCTTGTTGAATAGCTTGATTTATACAAAATACAAAATGAATTCACGATGACAAATTGACAGTTCACAAGTAACGGCAGACCGTAAACTCTCATTGAATGTTTACCGTATATATAGGAAAAAAAATTCCAGTCACTTAGCAACACTTTAGTTAAAATAATAGATTTTACATATACGATTTTATTTTCAGCTAGCACACATTATTATTTTATTTACGGCCATTATATTTTATTATTTTACTTTCAACCAGAAGTATAAACGTTATTTTTTTTATAAAATTTTTATTTTCAATTTCACCTAGTGGTTGACGATAAATTTTAGCATATTAAAATCTAGTGGCGTGTCCAGGATTAAAATTCACACCAGCCCCGGTTATAATTATTGTAATTTTTATCTATAGGATTGAAACTAAGGCCTCTCCGGGGGCATATTAATGACGTTTATTTTGCTATCGTATATTCGTTTTTTTTTAAACACTTCATAGGGATCGTGNTTTTTTAAAACACTTCATAGGGATCGAGCCTAGAAACTTAATAGATCTGAAAATTGGTCGGGTAGACCAACAGATCTACCATGCATACTCGCTGGTAGGCCACTGCATATATGATATTTGAATAATTGAAAAATTAAGTGTAATTATNATATTTGAATAATTGAAATATTAAGTGTAATTATAATAAATAATTACTTTAATAATCCAGTTACAGTTTATATTAACTGTACACACTTATTTGCCAGTTATATACTATGAAAAACATGGTTTGTTATCTGTATTTTTAATAGTTTGATTGGGTCAATGTATTACTTTTTAATGAAACCATTGAGTTCTCATAATAATTAAGCAAATTCAAATTTTAGAAAATTTGGTTTTAGTAGGAGCATCTATGATTAATAATAAATTTAGACAATGTAGTTATATGTTTAGTATGTTGACTGGTGAAAGTGACTTTTTTTATAAATAAAAAAAGAATAGATGTTTCCCGCCTAATGAATTAATTTTATGAAATAATATAGTTAAGACTTACCTCAAGGGGGTACTAAGCATTTAGTACTACGGGTTTAGCGAACCTGGGGCCCTGAGCTACCCTCTCCATGGGTATAATGGAGTTGGCGATAGGCTAACAACCTATCATGTAAAAATCCCTTGTTCAGGAATCAAATATAAATTTGCCTCGGAATTGTGGATCAAAGGACTTTAGACTGGAAAACTGGAAATCGGCATTACGTTTTGAAACCTGAAATGTACGCACTTTATTTAAACCTGGAGTAGTAGGAACAATAGTTAGAGAGATAGAAAGATACAAGTTAGGAGTAGTGGCACTACAGGAAATGAGGTGGCAAGATACGGGCTCAATACAAATAAGTAATACAACGTTATTTTTTGGTGCTTGTGACGGAAGAAGACAAGCTGGAAGTGGATTCGCGGTTAATAACTAGCTACTAGCAGCGGTAAAAAGTTTTAAAGTTATAAACCCTAGATTAACGATGTTGACACTGGATAAAAAATGGTTTGAAGTAGTCTTCGTAAATGGGCATGCTCCCACAGAGGACAAGGATGAAAATGAAAAAGATGATTTCTACTCGTTGTTAAACAGTATATTGTGTGAGATACCAAGAGGCTGTGTACATATTAGGAGATTTTAACGCAAAAATCGGACGTGAAGAATGTTTTAAGCCGATAATAGGAGGGCATAGTCTACACCATTTATCGAATGATAATGGGTGCAGACTTATAGACTTGGCAACGGGAAGAAATCTAAGGGTTAAAAGTACCATGTTCGCACATAAGAAGATACACAAAGGTACGTGGAGGTCACCAGATGGACGACATATAAACCAAATAGACCATGTGCTTATAAATGAAAGATTTAATAACAGTATGTTAGATGTAAGAACCGTACGTGGAGCTGATAGCGATTCAGATCACTTTCTTGTGGCAGGTATACTACGAGTGAAATTAAAAAGAAGACAAGAAATAAAGAGAGGAGGAGCTACGGGACGGTTTGACATCACAAACCTTAACAATCCAGCGGTAGTTGAGAATTTTCAAAAAGGTATAGAGGAAATGTTAAGAATAATAATTGCAAGTGGGTCAGGCAGAGAAGTGGAACAAAGGTGGAAAACGGTAAAACAACTTATTCAAGATGAAGCAGAAAAAACAATAGGGAAACAAAAGATAAGGAAAAAAACTGGTTTAATGATATTTGCGAAGAAGCCATAGAAAGAAGAAAGAATGCTAGAAATATATGGCTGTCCGACACTGAGAATGTGGTGAAGTTAGAAAGATTCAAAATGAGACAACGGGAAGCGAGTAACATATTAAGATGCGAAAAAAAAAATATTTACAAAACATACTTAAGGAGGCAGAACAGGATTTTGCTAGTCACAATACAAGAGACCTATATAAAAAAGTTAACTTCTTAAGTAAGGAATATAAGCAGCCGGTGAAAGTTCTCAAAAATGATGATGGAACGCTAATCACATCTAAAGAAGAGATAGCAAATAAATGGGCTAACTATTTTAAGCAGCTGTTGAACTGTAATACACCAGATAGTTTATTCCACTTTGAGAATATGGAAACTAATAATACAATCTGCCTAGCATCGAGTAAGGAGGAAATTCAAGAACAAATAAGAAATTTAAAGAACCATAGAGCACCCGGAGAAAATGGTATCCCTGGAGAGTTGCTTAAAAGTATGGGAAATGGCTTGCTTGAATATATGTCCGGGCTAATAAAAGAAGTTTGGGAAAAAGAAGTGATTCCGGAGGAATGACAATCAGCACTAATATAACCTATACACAAAAAGGGAGATAAGCAGTTGTGTGATAATTATAGAGGTATCGCTCTATTAAACGTTACATATAAAGTGCAATCCAAATGTATATTAAACAGAATTAAGCCATGGGCAGAAGATATTTTAGGAGATTATCAAGCAGGTTTTAGACAAAATAGATCTACCACAGATCAGATATTTGTTTTGAAACAAATTTTCCAAAAAATGTGGGAGTTCAATAGAGAAGTACATGTACTATTTATTGATTTCAAGAAGGCGTATGATTGCATACATAGAGAATCTATGTTGAATGTACTAAAACAGTTCAAATTGCCCCAGAAATTAATTAATCTGATCAAAGCAAACATCCTACACACGGAAATCAAGATCAGAGTTGGCAATATTGTATCACAAGGGATACCAGTATCGACTGGTTTGAGACAAGGGGACGCTCTGTCACCCATACTATTTAATATAGCGTTAGAAAGGGTCATCAGGGAATATAACGGTGTACGATTGGGAGGTTGCATAATAGGAGTATTGGCCTACGCAGACGATATAGTATTACTTGCGGAAAAGAAGGAAAATCTCAGGGAGCAAGGGGGAAAATAATTAGATACGGCAAAAATAATAGGTTTAGAAATAAACGATGAAAAAACTGAGTACATGATCGTGCAGAGAGGAGAGCTCGCGGATCATGTTCAGCCATTTTTGGAAGTTGGGCAGTACAAGTTTCAGAGAGTGCAAGAGTTCAAATATTTGGGATCAATATCGACACAAAAAAACGATGAACATATTGAAATAAAAGCAAGACTCCAATCCGGTAATAAGTGTTACTACGGACTAAGTAAGTTATTAAAAGCGAGAACGTTATCGAAGAGCCTCAAGATACAACTGTATCGCACCCTCATCCGTCCAGTGGTAATGTATGGTTGTGAAGTATGGACATTACGGAAATCAGATCAAAACAGATTACTGATATTCGATAGGAAAATATTAAGACGAATCTTCGGTCCGTATATAGATGAGACCACGGGGGAATGGAGAATTCGAAAAAACGAGGAACTTAAACTGCTGTACCAAATGCCTGATATAATTAGAGAAATTAAAAAAAGGAGACTTCAATGGGCTGGACATGCATGGAGAAAAGAAGGAACTTTAATCCGAATGGTTCAATGTGAGATCCCCCATGGAAAGAGACCCTTGGGACGATCCCGACTAAGATGGGAAGACCAAGTCAGGAAGGATGTACAAATGATAGACCAAAGTGCCAATTGGAATTTACTAGCGATAGATAGGGTGAAATGGCAAGATATATGTTTGAATGTATGATCTTAATGGTCGAAAGCAAAAAGAAGAAGAAGAAGAATAGTAAAAATATTAATAGTGTAGTAGAAATCATTTTACAAATCGTTAGAAAACATTTATTTTTTAAGATTCTGGTTGGGTTTTGAGTTTTATGAAAATTTAAATAATTTCCATCAATAGCTGCATTTTTATTTTTTTAACTTTGCTACAAAATTATGAAATTTTGTCATACTAGAACTGATAAAATAAAACATTTTTTGTATTTTAAGAAAAATAATTACATTTGATTCTACCATTAGAAAAAAAATCAATTTTTTATACTTTACTAACATTATAACTATATTGAAATTATTTACAAGTTAGGATCGAAGTTAAAAGAGAACAATAGTTTTTGTTGTTGTTTGATACACATCATTATGCTGTCGAGAAGTTGTGTTGTGATTATTTATTCTATCGTTGTGCTACATCGAGTTGTTGTCGGTCTTCTCTCTATGTCTGCATTGCCGCCGCCATCTTTGCGTTTTTTTACCTATAAGCTCTATGGCGATTGCGAGCCAGTAGTTTTGTGTTCCTTTTGTTGTCAAAATAAAATATCACATTTGCGATTGTCACACCCTCGTGCGCTCAATACATCGCAGTTAGGTCTATATATTTTCTGAGATACATCACAGTACCGTTCACAGCATATTGTACACGTAGCTCAGCTAATTTCAGTCGATTTCAATTGATCCTTTCAATATTCAACATTATTATCAGCCGATAAGTATAATGCTTGTTCATCTTCTTTCTAATACTTACTCACGTTTATAATTTATTATTTGTTTATATCAGCGCCATGGTGGCCTTAGTATTAAGTGTCCCCCTATCCACATTGGTGTAATAAGATTTTATGGTTCATGTATAATACATTTAATTGTTATAATTATATATTGTAAAATTCATTCTACATTCATTCATACAGTCCACTCGCCTTATTCCTTATCCTCGACATAGCCAAAGACTTAAGACAAAATAAAACCACGAATGTTAACGAACCCGCGAGAATACCACCAGACGTTGCGTTCATGAATTGGTCCTTCGAGTGTGGATATTTATTTGTTCTAATCACGGCCCCGTTAAAGTAAATTTGGAAGAAAAGGCTCTTTTCGAATCACGCACTTTACGGGATAGACCCCTTAAGTGGATTATTGAGATCCCGAATCACTTTTGTCTTTGCAACTTTTTCTGAATGTGTTTAAAGAAAATGTCGGGGCAATCAAAATTTTAAACGTAGACGACCTGTCTAGTTTTTAATATTGCTTCTCGTGTACTCGATAACACGACGAGACACCTATTTAAAAACAGTATATCCCAATCGATTATTCCTACTATGGATGACTTGCTGAAGTTTGATCAGCAACGTTGTAAAATTTTGTAAAATCTTAAAGGATCAATTCTAGCAGCGTCGCGTTCGATACAGAAAAATTCGAAGTTCTCGAAACATTCATTAACCATCGTCGCGTCTAACAATTTAGAGCCTTCTGTCCAAAATAAAATTCAGTGTTCTTATTGTCAAAAAGGTGTACATCCCCTTTATCGTTGCTATACCTTTCAAAAAATTTCTGTTCAAAAAATGCGTTAACATATTTCTGCGCACAAATTATGTTGGGTTGGGTCTCAAACCATGATGCATCGTCATGCACTTTAAAGTCGGCGTGTAAAAGGTGCAAAAAAAAGCACCACATTATTTTGCACGTGGATCAACGTGCGCCAAGTGGTGATCAAACAGATAATACGCCACCGACATTTTCAGGTACTTCATATGCACAGAGTTCCGTAATATTAGGTATTGCTGACGTGCGTATTTTCGATAACACCTACTCTTACCAACGTTTGCATGTGTTATAATGGACAGTGGGTCCCAAATATCAGCGATTACGTCAGATTTTTTATCACGTCTTAGCTTACCGCGTCGTAAATACCTCTCCGAGATAATCGGCTTGGCGCAAAACCGTGTAAGCCAAATAAAGGGCAGTTCCAAATGCACGTTTATACCACACTACGCATTAGAACCAGTGTTTACGAGTAATAACTTGATTGTTTTATCAAGAATAACACATCTCATGCCATCCGAGCGTTTACCACCGAAGGTACGTGAGCAATATCACGACTTATTGTTTGTCGATCCCCACTTTGACACGTCCGGTACGATTGATAATGTTAGATGAAGATGTCTTTCCACGTACTGTAAGTCTAAAGACGAAGATCATACACATGAAAAGTCTACCCTCTGCGCTTGACACCCATCTAAGCAGGATGGAAGTAGGTACGGTCTTGCTCACTGAAACCTCGCCTCAGGCGTGGCTCTTAGCCCATCTGTTGATAATTTGTTGCGTTAATTCTGGACAATAGAAGAACCGTCATCCTACATCCTACAACAGAAGATGAACTCTGTGATTATTGGTTTACACATACTATCACACGTGATTTATAGGGTCGTTTTTGTGTGGCACTACCTAAAACGAGATTTCTGCGGGGTGTAATAAAATTACCGCTGACATGAACGCACCTTGGCTTAACCACTGACTAGACGAATCTCGTAATTTAGCCCTCAAAAGATTATATAATCTTTTAAAAGGCCCATATGGGGCTTTGAATCATCAACAAAAAAAATTAACTTTTTTTGGATATTTAAAACGTCGAATATAACCTACATTTAAATCTTTATGAAAAAAGAATAATTTTAAACTTTAAGATCAATTTAATCAGTTTATGTTCACTTTTGTGCCTACCTGCGTATCTCGATATTATTAATTATTCTGAGTGAAACAAAAATACACTATTTGATATAGCTTTAAATAGAATTTTAGCTTCGATGCGAAGCTGAGAAGGTATTGGTTTTACTATGATGTGTTTTTTTTTTGTGTGTCTGTTACCACTTTTTCTTAGCTCTCACCGAACCGATTTCTTTCAACGATACGTCAAAAGATCACAAATTGTATCTAGTCGAAGACATTACCCTCAAAAATTGAAAAAAATTCCCCCCTTCCCCGTATATGAGGGAAACCTCCAAAAAAATTACAAATTTAAAAATCGCTAATTTTCGAAATTTTTTCAACTTTTTTTACTAATAACTGCCATAACTTTTTAAAAAATGAACAAATCAATATAATTTTTTTTTTATAGATGCTTGATGTCTTTATCTATCATTTGATATATTTTTTTTGTAAATTTGACCCTTTATCTGACCACAGGGGGGGATTTAAAAAGACAACTTTTTCACAAAAAATTAACATTTTCAACTTAACTTTTGAAAGTGTTCTGGAAAGTCTGATACTTTTATATATCTTAAATTAAAGCTAATGTAATGTACTTTATTATGCAAAAAAAAATTCGGACTTAATTTTGTCTTTACGATGAAAATGTCTACTGAATGCTATTATTGTGTGAAAATTCTCGATTTTATCTTTTACATTTTTAAATTTATAATACTATAACTTATTGAAAGCTGTATGGGTCAAAATAATTTTTTTATGAGAAATAATATTTTTTAATAATTTCCTAGAATTATAATTACAAGCTCTAAAAATTATTCATAGTCATTTCTAGGATGTTTTTTCAAAATCACTTCCTGACAAAATAATAAAATGTTTTCGCGTTTAGAAGATACAATATTTTCCAAATTTTTATTTGTATTCCAAATTGAATATTCCAAATGCTAATATTCTTGGTATTAATATTATTCCAAGTACTTTTAAATCTTTTAAATAGGGTAATATATGGGCCTGATGATACATGAAGTTTCGTTTCAACAATTACAGTTTGGAGAAGTAATTCATAAATATGGTGCCGGCATGCAAGATATAAGATATCCATATCTAACTTTTGTTTTAATAGTGTAAGAGCTACGTTTATACGCCCAGTATTCGATGCTGTTGTATCGAATACAAATGCTTGAGCTATGTCCAATAAAGTACACTTTGCAAGGTTATCATATACTGCAGATGATATTTCTAGCCCTATTCCAGATGGTATTTGAGGGACACCGAGTAGCTGCTTTAAAGCAAGGCTGGATATAATTGCTGGTAGACGATCTACTTTATCTTGTCCAGTTAAATCGGGTAGTAATTTACCATCCCAGTGTACTACCACAAAATTAACTTTTTTTTGTAAAAAATTAGACTTCACCTTATCTGTGCTTTCTTTCCGAAAATGTTGCCGAATATTTTGAATAGATGTTTTATTTAAAATGTAATTTTTTTGATTGATTGATAGGCTATCAAGGCATGCAGATAGTAAATGAACGGCATCACGGTCACTAATTTTGCATTTATCTAATGCAGCTGATAATCTAGGTGTAATTAACTGAATTGTACCTTTATTTGTAACAGAAGGATCTGGTTGATGTTCTAAAATTAAGTTTTCATTGTTCAAGTCCTCCAAACTTACTGACACATCTGAAAGTGTTTCAACTAAAATGATACCAATGAATTAAATTAAAATTCGACTATATTTAATTTAAGTATTTTAATAATATCATGCATCGTACTTAATTTTTCTTCTTCAATTTTCGAACGCTTTAAAGCTTCATGGGGTTTTTTTCATTTTGAAGCTTTTTTCTTTTCAGCTTGAAACAAATTTGTATCCACACCCATCATGTGGCCCTTCGCTCTTTTTCACTCTGTAAAAGTAAAAAATCTCGATCTTCCTAGATTTCTATAAAATTATTAAACATCATACTTATTTCAACTCTAACAAAATTTTAATTTGCAGTTATAAAATAATTACTTATCATGTTTAATGCATTGGCGTGAGTAATGTCAAATAAATCGTCTGACTTTGACATAAATAATTCTTCCTTCATAATTTGCGATTCAGTTCTTTTATTTGAATTTTTTTGTATTTGTCTCCATTCATTGTACAATTTTTCTAGTTTAGCAATACAATGCTGAATTTCTTGTATGGGTATTCTCGCTTTATTCTAAAATATTATAATTTCTCGTATTGCAAGACGAGCACTTTCACGAATATTTAATTTGACTACATGTAAGTTGTAAAAAAAAACTAATAAAGCTTGCTTAATAGAAGGTAATTTGCTACCAATAATTTGGCTACATTCATTACCCAATAAATAAACATTATTTCTAGTTCTGGAACTCGCCATCATAAAAATTTACGAAAATATTATCAGAAACAAAACAAATGAAAGAAGACACTTCTAACAAAATAGCTGTTAGCTATTCACAAACTGTTCCATTATTTTGTAAACTTTCAGTTATTTCTAAAAATAACTATTGGAGATACAGAAAGAAAAAAGATAAAGATATGTCATTGGTATCAGTAAATAATGAAATACACCGTATCAACAAATTGAAAAGTTTATAAAATTAAATCAATACACAAAAATGCCAGCTCTTTTTCTTAATTAATTAATTAACAATAAAAATATGTATTAATAATAATGAAATTTAGTATGTATGATTTTAAGATTAAAAAAAAAGTTATTTTTAATATGATCAACTATTTATTTACTTAATGTCAATAAATTTTTTTTTTCAACAGTTTATTTTTAATTTTTTTTGAGGGAGGGGGGTACCAAGCCCACAACATGATTTTTGTGCTGAATTGGTTAATAATTAAATAATAAACGATTTTTGTATAAAAGATGTATTCGTATCTCTAAATGTTTGTTAAATATAATGTAGTATTCGTAAATATTCCAATTTTGGCAAATCGATAAAATATAGTATAATTTTAAATATTGCTCGAAAACTAATAAGTTAAAATAAAAAATGTATAAGGACTAAACTTATAGTCCATAACATTGTCAACAATTTATATTCTATCATTTTTTCTATGATCGCTCATTTCTGAATTAAGTACAAAACACTAGAAAACTACCCCTATTGTCCAATTTTCAACCCATTTTTCAGTAGACACAGGTTAAACTTGTCTGATTGACGTGAAGTTTTTTTGGTTCGTTTCTACATGTATATAAACAAATTTGGGTGGTGATACCAAGGAATTTCTAAAAGAAATTTTTCATAATTCATAACTAAGGACCACTCCAATCTATACATGTCCCTACTATGCCACGTCCACACTGTGCCGCGACCTACTGTGCTACCGTTTTTTTACACTTATTTTTAAAGTTTTTATGCCCTCTATATAAAATAAAATGGCCCGATTATTTAAAAAAAAAGCGTGTCGAATGAATAAGTAAACATAAAGAATGTTTTTTAATTTTTTTCAGATTTTTGTAACATTTATATAAAATGAAAGAAAAAATAACTAAGATTTTAATAAAAAAAAATTATATAAGTCAAGCCAACAAATATGGTACTGATTAACAAATACTGGTAAATTTATTTATGATAAAAACATCCGCACCTTACCATCAATACATATATTTCCGTAAGTCCAATCGTTTAATAAATGTGCGATTCACAATTTAAGTTTATATTCTAATTTTAATTTAAAAATTAATAAAATAATTTCTAGTGTAATTATTAAGATTATCTTATAATTAAAACATTAATTTTTTATGATATAAATAAATTTAAAATAGAATCATTTTATATATATTTTAATAATTATTTAAAGATTTAAAAAACAATTTGCCAAAGTGTCAAATGACACGTATATTCTACATTTATAGAAAATAAAAATAACATGTATGCTTAAACATCTGATGTATAATAACAATATAAGTATACTTTTATAAGTCACTGTTTGTATTGGAGTTAGAGGTTATTCCTCTATTGCATCAAATTTCAACTCTAAATTCAAAAAATAATAATTTTTAAGTCATTGAATTTATTTTTTAATTAATATATTTTATTATAAATACCTGGATCTATTGATTCCGTTGGTGTTGGTATAAATGTTTCTTCAGTAATTGGATCAAATTTAAATCCGAGTTGAAAATAATTTTCTCTAATTACTGTTTTTATATAATTTTTAATTTTTTTGGTTAGGAATTTAATAAATAATAATTTTTCGTTTTGGTCAATAAAGACTTCATATTCTTGAGACCATTCATCCCATAAATCATTGGTATCACAAGGTACAAACTCACAATGGTATATAATTTGTTCTTGTAAAACTATTTTTATACTTTAAGAACATAATCTTACAATTTCTAATGTCCTATAGTAAGTCGTTAAATCATCACGTGATATTTTTTGTTCGTTTAATTTGTCAAGAATATTTTCTATTTTTTCTAATACAGGACTTATCATAAAGTATTTTTTAAGATTAGTCAATGGATTGTTATGTATGTTATCCAAAGCTTCAATGGCTCCTTTCATCAATGTTGCCATTGAAACAATTAAAATGGAGATTATGTTTATGAGTTCTTCTGTCCAAATTATTCCATTGAGATTGTCGTTTTCTTCTATAATTTTTTCTCGACAATTTTGTAATATGTAATAACTGAAGTAAAAAGATTTTTTATAACTTTTGTATATGTACATTCAAGAAATATAGTCAAAGCTCGTGTTTTTTGTTCACAATTATTGCCATTTGTATCTGTTTCAATCAAATTTTGAAGATAATGTTTTCTACCGTAGAATTGTATAAAGTTGACATCGTTTAAATTTTTCCATCCCGAACATTGTAGTAACTTACAAAGTTTGTCTACTTTCTCTTTATTACTCCATTTTCCTTTTGTATATATAATCACAAAAAATAATAAAATACATAAATGGATAAGCTTTAATGACAACATTGGAAAATAAATAGTAATAATAACGACTGAAATTTTTCGGTTCAAATGTAATTCGACGAAGTTCTATAAGACATGTATTTATTTTGATCTTTATTTAGAAATAATAAGATAAATATTTATGATAAAACAACTGTCGTATTATAATAATATTCTTTAAGTTTTTTAATTTTAAAGCTATTATACCTCTTAAATATTTCCGATATTATTTCCAATAATAATTAACACAATTCAAAGTTGATCTTCTCAATTTTTAATACTAATCGCAATAAATTTTATTTTTATTTATTGATTTATAAAAATTGAGTATTTGTTTAGACAAATATATTCCTAAGAATATCCTAAATATCTGTGTGTTAATTTATTAGTATTTTTAAATACAAAAAATAAATTAGTTTTTCTATAATAAATTAAGCCCGATATTGATAAAATTACTCGAAAATAAGCAACACAAATATTAATTGAAACAATAGTTATAGGAACTTTTTATTTAAGTATTAGTATTGTATGAAGCAGGCACAAAAATTATGATATCGTGCTACGGTATAATTTATTTATTGTTATGACACTACTCAGTACATGATTAAATTATTCATGATTTAACCTACAAAAAAATATATAAAATGATAGGTGATGTTTGTAGTATCACATTTTAATACAAGTAATAAATAATACATATACTTAATAAAAATATATCTTAAAATTAGTGTTCCCTCGTGGATTATGTATCAGTATAAAATCAACTCCCTATCTCCAATAATAAACAAGCAATCTGGCAATCAACTTACTCCTGAATTAAGACTACTCATAACAGAGAAGAGGAGAGCCCGCAATCAATGACAGCGCACTCACTACCCTGAAGACAGACATACATATAACTCTCTAACAAATAAACTCAAAAAACTACTAAAGAAGCACAAAAATGAAATGTACAAATCTCACCTCTCATCCTTATCACCAAATAACGGCTCCCTTTGGAAGAAAACTAAATCACTATTAAAACACAAATCAGTCATGCCTCCCCTTCAACGTCTAAACAACTCCCTAGCCGTCTCCACTCAAGAAAAGGTCGAGCTACTTGCTGAACATTTCGCCAATGTCTTCAAGCCACACTCAATCCTCCCGGACACCACACACTTAGATCTAGTAAACCGATTTAACACGTCTCCACTACCCATGGCCCTTCCAGCAAAACCCACCACTCCCAAAGAAGTGTCATCAATCATCAAAAAACTCAAGACCAACAAGTCACCTGGACACGATCTTATTAGTAACAAAATAATAAAAAATCTACCGCCCAAAACAATCATACTGCTTACATATATTTACAACGCAATCTTTCGCCTTTCTTATTTCCCCCTAAATGGAAAACAGCAATTATTATCTCCATCTTAAAACCTGAAAAACCCCCAGAAAAGTCGACGTCATATAGACCAATTAGTCTTTTACCAGTTCTCGGTAAAATCCTCGAAAAGCTTCTCCTTAGCAGACTTCTCCCATTAGCGCAAGAGAAAAATACCATACCTGAATTTCAGTTTGGTTTTCGACCAAAACATGCCACATTCCATCAACAAAGATACTATTGCTACATCTCTCGAATCCAAAAAATACTGCTCTGCCGTATTCCTCGACGTCGCGCAAGCATTTGACACGGTCTGGCACACCGGCTTACTATATAAATTAAAAAATATATTTCCTGCACCATACTTTCTACTACTCAAATCATACCTTGAAAATAGGTCTTTTAGAGTCAAACTTAATTCCACACTATCCGATTATCATAATATTCAAGCCGGAGTCCCCCAAGGTAGCGACATTGCTCCTTTCTTATACATCATCTACACAGCTGACATTCCACATACCGCAAACACACTCATCGGAACATACGCAGATGACACTGCAATACTAGCTGCCGATCAAGATCCGCATAACTGTAGCAAATTTTTACAATCTCACCTCAACATATTATCCAAGTGGTGTGACACCTGAAAAATAAAAATCAACGAACTAAAATCTACCCACATCACCTTCACCCTTCGTCAAAATGTCTGTCCTAACATAATTCTCAACAACACTATTATTCCACAAGCAAGGGAAGCGAAATACCTAGGCTTGCTATTTGACAGAACGCTCACATGGGGTCCTCATCTTGAAAGTAAACGGAAACAGCTAAATACTCGTCTTCATCTAATAAAACCGCTCATCCAACACAACCAGCACATATCCTATCGTCTACTTCTTTACAAATCCCTCCTCCAACCAATATGGTCATACGGTATCGCGCTCTGGGGTGTTGCAAAGCCGTCTAACATAAGGACAATACAGGCGTTCCAGTCTATTTGTCTCCGTATGATAACCAAAGCACCGTGGTACGTCACCAACAACTCCCTCCACGAAGACCTCAAAATAGCTACAGTTAAAAAAACTGCACACATATATTACAAAAGACTACATTCCAAAATGCAATCCCATCCAAACCGTCTCGTTACTCAGCTACATTCAACAATTCTTCCGGGCAATCCAGACAGACGCCTCAAACGCAACTGGTCAAGAGACCTTCTTAATATTATTTAACCCACTTAAAATTAATAATACACAGGTGGCTCTAATGTGAGCTTCCTCCTCACCGCCATATCATTGTCTATTTTATTCCTATTCACATATTTACTTATTGTACATATATCTGTATAGATTTAAAATTTTATAATAAACGTTCTTAAAAAAAAAAAAAAAAAGATATATTTAACTTTCACTACACAAAAATTCCAATTTTTTTTCTCTTTCCCTCCTTTTTATCCTTTATTATGGAAATTTACTAATTAAAAATATGAGGGCATATTTTTTACTTTAACATAGGGGAGTGTAATATAGGTCATTATTTTGTAAAATTGAAAACAAAGCATTTTTGTAATGTTTGGTTTAACTATGAATTTCTTGATCTATTATTACAAAAATATAATATAGTCTATTATTTGTAAACCTAGATGTAGAACACTTTTGTAATGTTTAGATTAATTGTAATTCCCAAATTATTGTTACTATCAGGAAGTAAATATTTATAAACATTTTTGAAAATGATTACTATATGAATTTTATAAAAAGAAAAACAAAATATGTATATAAGATATATCTTATATCTTAGTATATAAGTTGAAATGGAATGAATTGAAGAGAGGGGAGAGAAAGAGAAGACCTCGGGAGACCGAAGGTAATCTCTTTTCGTGTGGTACGTTTGTGACATTAAGTTTTTATTTTGTGTATTATTTATTTATCCGTTTTTAAGTGTATCAATATTTTATATGTTTTATTTTGATTGATTATATCTTTATTAACTACATTTTGCGTTATTATTGAACTACTATAATTATAAGTTAGAACAAAAAGATTGTTCCATAATTTAAATACAACAAAGTGATAATTTAAATACAACAAATCCACCAATTTTTTTAAATTAAACAGTATCTAAAAATTTGCTTCGAAGCGTTTTTTTTTATAGTGATTTTAATCACTGTCAGGTATCATTATACTTGATCCAACTAAGCCACGTCACCACTGTGCCGCAACCCTCCTGTGCTGGGTTTTTTTTTTTATTTTATTTGTGCAAGTTTGCACTTTTTGAAAGTATTTTTGAACAATGCAAGTGATGTAGTGCCGGATGCCCTTGAGAAGTCCTTGAAGTTGTACCCGTTAAAATGACATGGGTGACTTTATGGCGCGAGATCACCTGTTTTTTCCATCTGAAATCAGAATTTTTTTTTCCTAGAAGTTTTACTTCCTCACCAAGAAAATATTCTTGGTAGACCGCATTGTCCTCTCTCTGCTAAATCTGAGCCCTTCTATTAGAAAAAAGGGAGGAGCCGTCACGCGCCACAAGGACACTCGAAAAGGTCGCGCACGAACATGTTTCCTCTCCAAAATACCCATAAAGGAACGATTTTTTTGTAAAATCCTTCTTAAGGCATATTTTAAGACCATACAATTTCAAAATATGTAAAAAAAAATCGATTTTTTCAAACAGCGACACCCTTAAATATTTAATTAAGAAATGATCCAACATAGAATTTTTAATAAACTATGTTTGTAATGAACAATTTGTTAATTATTATAAAATTACATAAAATGTCTTTTCTCTAACTTTAAAAAGTATTTAAATAATAAAAAAACTCATGTTAATAGATAAGCTATTATTAGCTATTTATACATAAAAAATATCATGCGAACTAGTAAAATATCACTTATTTTAAAGAAGTCAATAAGTATTTCGAAAGTTAATATTTTTAAACATAAATTAATGGTGGAGTTCAGGCTATGTTACTTTTATCAAATAGCACATTTTTTAGTCGCATTGCTCCTCTTGACTAGGTATAAAAGTGTAAGAACATGTGAAATACTGGTCAAAAGTTGTTATTGATCAGTCATTTTATATTTAGACCGTTATTTAACAAAAACCGAATTAAATATGTATGTCCCAATTTAAATGAAATTAATTAACAGGGTACCTTTATTAAGTACAAAGAATAAACGTAAAAATAAATACTAATACTTATAAATTAAGAAATAAATACTACAAAAATAAGCTAAAAAAAAAACCCAGCACAGGGGGGTCGCGGCACAGTGGTGACGTGGCATAGTTGGATCAAGTATAATGATATTTGACAGTGATTAAAATCACTATCAATAATAAACGCTTCGATGCAAATCTTAAATAGTGATTAATTTTAAAAAAATTGGTGTTTTATTCCAAAAGCTACTTGATCTGCTGGTTTCTTATTAATATCCTGATTAAGATAAAGTATGTCGAATGAAAAAGAGTTTATTAAAAAATATTATTTCTCATAAAAAAATTGTGTGGATCCATAAACTTTTCAATAAGTTATAGCATTATAAAGTTAAATATAATATAAATAATAAAGAATTCGAGAATTTTCACACAAAAATAGCATTTGATAGCCATTTTCGCCGTGAAGACAAGTCCAGAGGTCAAATTAAAGTATATTACATTAGCTTTAATTTAAGATATATATAAAAGTGTCAGACCTTCCGGAACATTTTCAAAAGTTATGTTGAAAAAGTAAATTTTTTGTGAAAAAGTTGTCATTTTAAATCCCCCCCT